GAAAAAACCCCCGCCATAAAGTCTCGAGATATGTTTTTTCAAAGTTGAACTTGCATTAATTTTACATGGCTTTCTAAACATGCGGCTCCTTTGTGCGAGATGCGAGTGCAACGGTGATAGATGTCCCTCTAGAAAATGCGCGTGTTATGTGTTCCGTGTGAATGGTTTCAGTTTTGATGTAAACGATCTTCTCCATATTGATGTTCTCTTTTTCCACAATATTTTTAATGAACCACGCAACAGCGCCGCATCTAGTGGCCTCAACTGGATAGGCTAACAAAAACATTATATTGCAACGACACTTACATCGTCATCGCATCTCGTGCGCCACTGATAAGACTGCCTCCTTAACGCACACCTGAAATTCGAATGCAACGTTTTTGCATTCGAATGTGGATTTTTATTTTAAATTCGACGAATATTCCAAAAATTTTTGACAGCCCTAGTAAACGGTGCTTGTTCTGTGAAGATTTCTCTCCTGATTCACACAAGACGACTTTTCACTGCAGAAATCAATATTATACACTCGATTTTAGCTGGAAGCAACAGTTTAAAGTTTAAAACATATTAATGATAAATTTGTTTCTTAAAAACACGCAGTATTTCTCTTCACAAGATATTAACTGATGGACTGGAGTGGTGTGGATTACTTGTAGATTATTGTGATGTTTTTATCAGCTGTTTGGACTTTCATTCTGAAGGCACCCATTCAAAAAGCCAAAATTGAATTGAATTGGTAAGTTTGATTCATTTCCATGAGATGTTTCAAACTGTTCATTTTAATGAATCGGTTCAACAAATTGTTTGCATCACTCAAAAATGTTCACAAAAGTTGCTGTATTGCTGTATATTATAATACTGCTGCATATAAATAATAATTCAAATAAATTCGATATTGTTTGTTTCATTTACATAAAAACTATGTGGAAACCACACTTTGATAATTTTTTTAAAGTAGTTATTTACTGTATTTGACTTTTAGCAGTAAAATCTAACTGGCTAGAATGGCTCAAATACTATGGTTCTGAAAACACACAGTAATATACAACAACCTCACAACACCACGCACTAAATATCTGACTTGAACACTAGTGTGCTCAATAACACAACCAACACTGCAGGTGCGCACACAAACACACCTGTATGTAGAGTAAAATACAGCTGCCTACCTCTTAGTTTCACACTGTGTGTAGCCATGGAGTCATAAACCAACAGATGATGGAGAAAAGCAAAGACAGAACGAAACTAATTCACACTCCTCTTTCCTCTATGCTCAGTCAGTTATAGTAAAGAGTGACAGAAAAACACAGAGAGAGGGAGGGAGGGAGGTGGGCACTGGGCATGCATGTTGTGCTCCACTGGTAGAAGACACACACGTCTCTGTGGAACGGCATCCCAGCATGCATAAGAGCGAGAGCATGACCGACTCTGCAGGTCACCCCGACAACCATATGGCAGGTCACCATGACGACCAAAGTGAACGTGATGGAATGGAATGTCGGAACTTTAAACTTTCTTTGAAGAATAAGTTTGAAAAATTACTACATTATATTTTATATATATATATAAAAATTATAATTATTACTTTCACTGGCTGTCATCATATATATATATATATATATATATACACACACACACACACACATGCACAGAATCTGAATGTACAAGCTTCAGAATAACTTGCAGCCGAAAACAAAGCATCCGACAAGTGCACAAGTGTTTGGTGAATCAGGAAGTAAAAGAGTGCGCTCTTACCTAACTCAGGAAAGGAAAACTTCTTCCTGTGTTTTCTAAAAAAGCTGCGCTTTCTCCAAGGCAACCACTTACTCATGTTCATAACGTTCGCTCCATAGAGGTGGAGAATGAGAGGATAGGGAGATATATGGAGGAAAACAACATACAACAACATACAACTTCAAATGATGTCCGAGAAGAGTGATGCTGCTGAATGCAATGCATGCTGGGAGTAAACCGAGAGAACCTGTGGTGGGTTCCTCTCGAACCGGTGCGTGTCAATCAAACGCACTGCACATCCTGTCAGAGTGACACACCAGACATCTGACAGAAACACATAAGTAATAAAACACAACTAAACACACGCACCTGATGAAATCATTCAAAAGATCAACTTCCTATTTCCTTTTTTTTAAAACACATTACTAAAAAAATTCTTACTCAAACACACTCTAGTTCCTAGATGAAAAGACTACAGCTGTGCCTCAAAACCTAGCGAGTCGTCCATTTAGACAACACTTTTGGGCAACATGTGCCTGAATGTGTCACAAAGCTAGCTCTCTGCCTACCAAGACATTTTAGCAAGTTGCCTACATATACAGACTAGGCTTGCCGCGATAGATGGTGTTGACGGTGATAGCCGGTGTTAAGCCGCAACACCGGTTACGTCACTTGCCCACCGCGTCACCGACCCCCACCGTCGTTTAGATTTTTTCGCATCACAGATCAGATTTCATTTCTCCAGTGAGTCGAGATGACTGACAAGAAGAGTGAGGTGAGACAGACAAGACGATTTAGTTTCTAAACGGATGCAAAAGCTCCTGTTTGGCAGTATTTTGGATTTTGAAAAGCCTGTTGACTTTTGCCGTTTATCTAAGGTGATTTTGGAAGTTTTTTTGAACATTCGTTTCTTATTTAATTGGTTCCACATTGTTTGCTGATTTTTACTTTATTTAAACTTTGTGTCATTTATTTATTTTATTTGACATCAAGGTGTATGCCGTGCCTCCAAGCTTTCTTACTCATTTTGCTAATAAACGTTCTACGGTTCTTATTTATTTGGTTATATATTATACATGTTTACTTATTTCCAGCTTGTATAGCCTACCTATTAAACTTTATGTAAGTTATTTGCCATTTTATATTAGGCGGCTCGATTAACCGGTGGGAAAATTTCCTCACCGACACAACCCTAATACAGACAGGACTTCTGGGCAACACAAAGGCAAACATACACAGATTTTGAAACTATAGACTCAAAATGCATCTCAAATCCTAGAAAGCTAGCATTTTAGCAAGAAGCATCACAGGCACAAAACTAACAAGCTAGTTGCTTAAAAAAAACCTAGCAAGCTGACATTTTAGCACACTGTCTACAAGACACCCGCACTCCACAAAACCAAGTGACCTGCCCACATAGACAGCATCGGTGATCATCACAGGTGCGACATGAATTTCAAAACTTAGAAAGATTGCCACCTAAACACTATTTTGGGCTTCCCAGGTGTATAAATCATGTGTAGGCAGACCACTAGATTTTGAGAGACAGCATTTCTCGAACCCCAGAGCACCATCTGTTGTGTGCTCCTATCGGACACGAGTGACTCATTATGGTTTGGGCTGGGCAAAGTAAATATCCGAGACACGGCGAGGGATCTGAAAACACATGGCCTATGGATTCATTTGTTGATTCTGCTCTCCTCTGAGGTGTTGCGAAGGTCAGGACGCGCTACGAACTACTGAACAAGCACACACACACACTCGCACACACAGAACAAGAACAGGAACAGAAGGGACTGCAGAAGGTTGTTTTCTCTTTCGTTTTCACTTTCCACTTGTGAATGAACTGTGTGTACTGGTTTACATATCCTGGTGGGGACTTAAACCTGACTACACACAGACTCATGGGGACTCGTGTCACGGTGGGGACCTAAATTGTGGTCCCCACGGGTACAAAAGCTTATAAATCATACAGAATGAAGTTTTTTGAAAATCTAAAAATGCAGAAAGTTTCCTGTGAGGGGTAGGTGTAGGGGTAGGGTTGGTGTAGGGCAACAGAATATACGGTCTGTACAGTAGAAAAAACATTACGCCTATGGAGAGTCCCCACAAGGATAGCTGACCAGACAGAGTGGTGTGTGTGTGTGTGTGTGTGTGTGTGTGT